GATCATGGTATTGAGGGAAAGGGGTTAAATGCAAGACCTAAAAGCTTCAAGTATCAAGCTGGACTGAAACTTGGGATACTCAACTTCTGCCAGTTCCTTACTCAAAAATACTATTTTTTTTTTTGTTTTTTTGCAGTGCCAGGGATGGAACCCAGGGCCTTTTGCATGCTAAGCTATTACTCTACCACTGAGCAGCCAACCCCCCAGCTCCCAAAATTATTATCTCTTATTCATTGAGGAAACATATCCAAGTCATTTGCTGTAGACAAAGAAAGTTCCAGCCATAGGCAGCCTCAAAAAATAAAAATAAGAAACAGGTCAGGGTTGTACCAGCAAAGACTCCTAAGATTCAATTATTTAGTGACTTACTCTAAGGCCCACAGTTGGCCCCAGGCTTAAGTAGCATAGGACCCTCAGTCCCCCAGAGGCCACAGAGATCAGCAGGGGACCTTGGAGCTTTGCAGGAAGTCGGGTGCACACCACACAGCTCTTATCAGAGTTCCTGTCCTGCCTTCTCAGGAGTCATACTCAGCCCCTCTCCTGGCTGGGGCCTCCGCTTCCTGGGGCCTCTGCCCATGCGTCCACTTGACCTTTTCCTTCCAACAACCTCACTTGCCTGGAGGAAGCTAGACTTTTATTTTTAGAACTTTTGGAACAGGGAAGTGCTAATGAGTATAGAAAGAAAAAGGAAGGGATAGGCCATTTTGGCCCCTTGAAATTTTCCTTCCTGTTTCGTCCCTAAGACCTCCTTGCTCCACACCACACACATGCATCCCACAAGATCTCCACTGTCCACCTTTCTCCATGGGAAGTTTCTTCTACAGCGGTGTCTACATTGGCCTGAAATTCTTATGGGTTGAAAAAAAAACCCAAGCCTAGCTCCAGGAGTAATGAGCAAGAGAGAGCACACTCCACGACTCCCTGCTTGGGCTCAGCCCTGCCATTCTGTGCTTTTAGCTCTGTCAAGCACTTAACAAGCATATATTCATTGAGCATGTTCCCCTGAGAGGGCACCAGCCATGCCCTTAGGGGTTAAGTGACTTTTCAAGCCTGCAGCTCAGCACAGCATAGGCTGAAATGGGACCAGGCCTTCCTGGCCTCTGTCCTCTCTGCAGCCCACCCAGAGCCCAGCCAAGGTGTGTCCCTTCTTGCTTCTCACTACTCCAGACCCAGTTACACCTCCAGGAAAAACCTGGCCTTGCTGCCACCACTCTCCCAAGGGCCATGCTTGGGATGTCATCATTCTCATCCCTTCCTCCTGGACCTGTTCTTTCCTGCTTTAGATTTTCATCTTGCTCCTTCCTCTAAGCAGAGGACTTAAGAAAGAAGTTTCTTATCAGTGGAGCCTGATGCCCTTGCAATCTTTCTTCTCAGTTCTCCAGAATGAAGTTGAAAGTCTGCTCTCTGAAATCTGACCCCTCTTGTTACAGATCTGAGTTATTGAGGGGAAAGCCAATTGCACTAGCCTTTCTGGGATAAGGTAGAGAAGATTAGGCCTGCTCAGGGAGTTGAGCTAGATCAGATGACCTCTAAGAGCCCTGGGCATGTGGACACAGAATTTAAGAAAGAACAGAAAACTCCACCTCCCTCCCACCAGGCCTTCTCTGTTACTAACTTTGGTAAAGAAAGGCAGCACCAGGCGCAATAATAATAGTAGCTGTGATAGACTAAATAATGACTCCTCAAAAGATAGCCACAACCTAATTCTTAGAACATGTGTATGCTACCTTACATGATAAAGAAAGGACTTTGCAAATATGACTAAGTTCACCATCTTGAGATGGGGAGATTGTTCTGGATTGTCCAAGTGGGTCAAGTGCAAACATACATATCCTCTTATACATAATGGAATACTATTCAGCCAAAAAAAAAAAAAAAAGAATGAAATCCTGTCATTTGAATAGAAATGAAGATCATTATGTTAAGTGAAAAAAAATTAGGCACAGAAAGACAAGTACTACATGTGAGATCTAAAAATTCATCTCATAATATTTGAAAGAAATGTTGGTTTATCAGAGGCCAGGGAGAGTAGGAGGAGGAAAAAAATAGGAAGAGATTGATCAATGAGTACTAAGTTACAGTTACATGGGAGCAAGAAGCTCTAGTGTGCTATCTCTGCATAGCATGCATATGACTATAAATAACAATAATGTACCAAATATTTCAAAAAGTTAGAAGAAAATATCTTGAAAATTTTCCCATAAAGAAATGATTAAATATTTGAGGTGATACTTAAGTTTAGCCTGATTTAAACATATACATGTATCAAAACAATACATGGTGCCCCATTAATATGTATAATATTTGTTTCATATATAGGTTAAATCCCAACAACTCTAGAGGCTGAGGCAAGAGGATAACAAGTTCAAGGCCAGCCTTAGCAACTTAGTGAGGTCCTAAGCAATTTAGAAAGACCCCCCTCAAGATAAAAAATAAAAAGGGCAGAGGATGTTGTTCAATAATAAAGCATAAAGCATCTCTGGATTCAATCCCCAGTACCAAATAAATAGAGTCAGGTTCAGGAGCACACACACAGCTTCTCAAGATACTGAGGCAGGAGGATTGCAAGTTCAAGGTCAGCCTGGGCAACCTAACAAGATACTGTCTCTTTAAAAAAAAAAAGTGGGTGGGGTTTGCTGAGGTGTAGCTCAGTGGTATAGTGCTTTCCTGGGGTGCAGGAGGCCTGGGTTCAATCCCTAATACCCACCACAGCCACCACCACCAAATTACTACATGTAATGCAAAATTTCTAAGAGACATGCAAAGGGAGATCTGGCACAAAGAGGGGATGACAATATAACAATAAGGACGGAGATTGGAATAAGGTAGCCACAAGCCAAGGAATGCCAGCAGTCATTAGAAACTGGAAGAAATATGAAATGAATTCTCCCCTAGAGCCTCCAGAAAAAGCATGGCCTTGCTGACACCTTGATTTTAGCTCAGAGATACTGATTTTGTCATGAGAAAATACATTTCTGTTGATTTCAGGCACACAATTTCTAGTCACTCATTATAGCAGCCAAGGGAAACTAATTCAGCATTTAACATTTAAGGACTGTGTCCTATGTGTCAGGAACTGCTCTGACCATTGCCCCCACATTTAATCATTCACATCTTGTCCCTAGATGTGAGACCTGGCAGTGCAGACACAATGCCAGGGTTTCTATTCCAGCTTCACTACTTACTATTATGACCTTAAGTAAGTTATGTAACCTCTACAAGTCCCAGTTTCCCAATTCATAAAATGGGCAAATAGTACCTTTCTCATTAGTCTGTGGGGGGGGGGAATGGGTAATAAAGATAAAGTACTTAGAATAGTATCTAGTAAGTATCCAATAAATGCTAGCTTTTATGAGATTTTGAGGAGTAGAACAAGCCAAAATTAGACCATCGCACTAATGTGTCAAGGACCTGGGCAAGGCCTCCTGGATTCAGTTCAGGGAAAAATATTCCCTTAAAGCCTGCTGAATAGCAAATATGACAGTGTAAGGAGTTCAGCTAAGTACTTTTTCCCTTAATTAAGCAACTCAGGTCTTTAATGCTGGCCTCATTTCAGAAAAGAATGAGGCTAGGACTAAGCTAATTCTGTAGCATTCCCAGATGCTACCTCCAGCTCTTAAGAAGAGTTACGCACATTGTCATTCTTAGGAAGGACCTAACTTGCAGCACTCACACCTGACACACCCCAGCAGAGCCCACCACATCTTCTCCCAGCAATTTTGGCATCCAGAATTGGAGCCTTCATGCTTGGAAGTCAATGGAAGGCAGAAACCTTTGGTCCACGTTGTGACCTTCCACGAAATGTGGTCAACACAACTCCAACCTGTCCCAGTGGCTGGGTGGAATGAGAAATTCATGAATTTGCTTTGATAAAGAGGTTAGGGTACAGTCAAGTTAGTAAAGAATAAAGTTCACCAGGGACAAAGGAGGGAGACCTAGAGTTACCATCTTGTGAGGTGTGGGGGGAGGAGAAAAGAAAGAACTTTCATTTGCTTGGCGCTTTCTGATAAAGTTTGCCCAACTCTCCTGTTCAGGTGATGTAATTGAAAGATGTAAAGGAGCGGCAAGAACCCAGGCTTTGTGCCCTCACTTCTCCAACTGGGGAGAGGGGTCTGGCCACCGGGCTCTGGTTTTCTCTTAGGCAGGGTTCCAGCCCCCAGACTCGAATTGACCAGCTTCAGAAGACGCCTGCTGCTGCCCGGGTGCTGGCAATCAGGCATCTTCTCACCCAGCTGGCTGTCCCGTCAGCCACCTGCGCTCTCTCTGCCCTTCCCTAGCCCACCTTCTGGGAGGAAGGAAAAAGGAGGACAGCTCCCCCTCCTTACTTTCAGGCACCCACAGATTCCTGCACTGCCGTCACCACTGACGAGAACCCGGGTCCCCTGGAGGAATCGCTTCCCCTCATTCCATCCTCCCTATCAATGAACACGCAGCAACACCCACGCTCCCGCTCCTCCTACTCCGGAGGGAGACCAAACCAGAGACCGACATCCGGAGCTGGAAAACGTTACAGGGGGGGCGCCGGCTTCCCTGCCCCGCAATCCCTTGACCTTTCCCAGTCACCAGAGGGTCCCAAGCCAGCCCAGCATTCCGGATGGAGAGGTTGCCAGAGTCCTCCAAGGGGCCCCTCCTCTTCAGGGAGCTCAACGCAGGAGACCTCGGGAAGCGCGCGCGACAGAACCGCTTAGCTCCACCCGCAGGGCCCGCGCACTGGGTTCTGAGCACCCTAACCGGGACTCGAACACCATACCTGTGCCCCCAATCTTTAGACAACCCGAATCAAGCCCTCAGCCCAGCGCTCCTCCGCCGCCTCTTTCCCAGTACCAGGGCCCGGAGAGGAGTCCCGGGCTGCTCTCGCGCCCATTCTGCCCCCAACAGGTCGTGGGCAGCGGGGAGCGCGCCGCTTGTCAGGCAGACGCAGGGAGGCGAGCCGGAGCGAAGCCGAGGGCCGGCCGTGCGGTGTGGGAGAGGTCGCCGGGGACTCCCAACCAGTCACTTACGCGCGGGCTCTGGGGAACCCCATGGAGAGGAGCACGTCCAGCGCCGATCCATGCTTGATGGTGCCGGGGCGCTGCTGGCGGTTCCTCCGGGGGGTGACTTTGCTGTACAGCTCCTCTCTCGCAGCCATGCCGAGCGGGCTGGGGTTGCCGTACTGAGCCAGGGCTTAGCGGCCAGCCATTGCCAGGGAAGGCTCCCGGGCCGGTCGTCCGGCGCGGGCCGGACCAGGGGAGGGGGCTCCGCGATCGCTAGCCAGGCGAGTGGCGGCGGCGGCGGAGGCGGCGCTCCGAGCTTCCCTAGTGTCGAGACTCTGACGCTTCCTGGTGAGGCCACCGGAGCCAGACGCTGGCAAGCAGCTTCTGCGGGACCAGCCGTCAGCCAGGCGGGCCCCGGGTGCTCCCAGCGCTGCGCCTGCGGTAGCCCTCCCTACTCCGCCCCTTTCCTTCTCCTCTGCAAGCAGTCCGGGAATTTGCAATGAGTAATTTTTGAATGGATCAAAAAGGAAAAGGAGCCTTGTGGGCTGGCCCTGACTGGCCTGTACCAGGGCCCCGCCCCTCTCTTAAAGCGGCAGTGCTGTCCCAGGCTACTCGCGGCTGGGTTCGAGCTTCAGTGGGTCAGCTTCGAGGCAGAAGACTCCAACGACAGAGGCTGCCAGTGTGCTTTGCTTCAGAGCGTCACTTCAGAGGCCCAGTCTTCTCCTGGTCTTGCATATCGACCTGCGGGGCCTCCAGATTCCAGATCAACCCTTTTAAGTTTTATTTGGTTCTTGATGAGGTTAAATAATGGAAATCGGGTGCACTGATCGATGACATTAATGGACCCGAAGCCAAGACCAGTAAGGCCCAGTTAAAGGCTTTGCCTCCAAAGGATCCTGCAAAACCTAAAGAGTTGTTATGACCATTGGAGGCCGAGTTCCCATCAGCTGGCCAAAGTCTACACTGAAGACTGTGACTGAGCTGTGACTGGACGGTGTCTTCTGGGGAAAAGTGGGTCCTCGGACTTTTGAACCTGAACCAAGGAGATGAGAGGACAGGTTGGAAGGGAGAAGAGAGAATGAAAGAAGTCAGGAGAAAGGAGGAGGGCAGAAAGGAAGGCTTAGGAGCGTAGAGGGAGAGGGAAAATTATACCAAGAGGCTGATTCTCACAAGTATCCTGTCAACAAAAGCATTCAAAAAAAAAAAAAAAAAAATACAGGATCAGCTGGGCACAGTCGTGCCCACCTGTGATCCCAGGGACTCAGAAGGCTGAGGCAGTAATATTGCAAGTTCAAAGACAGCCTCAGCAAATTATTGAGGCCCTAAGTCACTTAGGGAGACCCTGTCTCAAAATTAAAAATAAATAAATAAATAAAAAGGGCTGGGGATATGACTCAATGGTTAAGTGCCCTGGAACCAGAAAGGGGGGTGGAATCAGAGCTGCACAGCAACAACAAATGAGTTGCACCACAGGTTGGACTAAATGCTTCCCACCCACCTCAAAGTTGGAAGTCATGATTACCATTGCTCCATGCTCCACATCATAAATTTGGCTAAGGGAGTAGGACTCTTTCTTATTGTCCTCAGTCTGGGACAGAGCTCCACTTGGTGTAACAAAAGAGGCATGGAGTAAACCCAAGCAGATTCTCTTTTCTGCATAATAATAAAACTTAACATTTATTGGACTTTTGTATGTGCCAATAATTGTGCTAAGTATAATGAATGAATTAACACATTGAATTTTTACAGTGCCCTATGAGGTGTGTATTTTTATTATCCCAGTTTTATAGATGAGAAAATTCAGCTCAAAGACCCAAGGAAGATTGTTTACCTCATAAGTGCATCGCTAGAACTTTTACCCACTGTGGCTCCTGGGACAAGTTTTTCTCCCCTCAACAGCCCCATTTGTCTCATGTGTATGAATCATAGTAACCTAGTATTGCATACACAGGATTGTCCAGAAACAGCAGCCCTCTACCTCTTCCCTGCTTGGTGTGTTGGGGAGAGGGGGTAACCAGCTCCCATGGACTAGCTTTTTGATGTGGCTTTCACCAAGGAAAAGGTTTGACTAGGGGAAAAGATACAGTTTCATTTCCTGAAGCCCACCCTGGACCAATGGGTTTTCTACAAAATATCCAGTGGGCCTTTGGAAGTGGGGAGATAAGACAGTTGCTGAAGCAACAATGTGCATAATTCTGCCTGGTGCTGTGTAAAGGATGAGGGACAGTTCATACCTCCTGGTTGAGATAGTTTATATTGCTTCCCAAGCAGAGGGGATGCACAGGACCTTGCAGAACACAGAATAAAAAGACAAGACAGGAACAGGGAAAACATACATATTCTAACTTCTTTGGATGTGTTTGGTAAAGCATGCTGGACATTACTTCATGTTCTAAAGTTTTTCCAAATGTCTTGGCTGAGAGTCAAATGGTCTGGAATCTAATCAAGAGAAATTATTATCTGTGGAAGTGCTTTGTGAACCACAAAGCACTACACGAATAACAAATTTACTGAGTACTTACTATATGCTAATGCCCTTCTTGGCTTCTTATGTGTGTAGTGCATTTAATTCCTTGACACAGCTATGAAGTAGCAACTACCATATTATCAGACTCTTTACAAAGGAAGATGCTGAAACAGACAGAGGTCAGTATCTTGTCCAAGATCATATGGCTCATGAATGGTAGTAAGGACTTGAATTTATAACATTTGGCCAAACAACTACTTACTTCCATTGTTAGGGTGACAGAGAGGATGTCAAATTTTAAGATGGCTGGTTGTGATTGCCTTTTTGACTTCTCCTATGCCCCTCGACATAGAATTGCTGGAGCTCTGTCTGGTTCTCCCAAAAGGTTGAATTAATTGTCTTTGTTCCTGCCTCTAGGCAAACTGTGAGACAGAGGAAATGATGGGCATAAAAATAGTTTTAGGTGGCCTGGAAAAAACACTATGGAAAACCAGGCACCTAAGATGCAAACCATTTTGTCTGGGGGCACTTTTACAGAAACCCCAGCTTGGCTTCCTCACCCTTCTTGGGTTCAGTGCCAGAGTTTGTTTTCCTTGGGACTGCTGCCATTTGTTCTGTAATGGTTAGGGGGCTGGCAATTAAGATGCATTGTGCTTTAATTGTATTGACTTGGAAAAACTGGGAGAAGCTTTATAAACATCCATATTGTTATGTTACAAAGAGAGAAGAAGAATGACTATTCATCTGACAGTATATCTTACAGCAGTGGAGAGGGAGGAGGTGGGAGGGAGCCCTTTCACAATGATGGCGCTGACACATCAGCATTAAACTGCTTCCTCAGGAGGGAAAGCGAGTTGTCATGTCCCCGAGCCCACTCACGTCAGAATCCATCCTGGACCACAAAGCACTTTTGTTCATCTGAGCACTGTTCAACTCCATGCCAATGACCCCAGACACTTTCTTGATATAGTAGCCCTTCTAAAATGGCCATGGGGATGCCCAGGATGTGCCCAGTTGACTGAACTTGTCATTTCTGAAGTGTGTCCTGTGTCTTTTCCTTGAGAATAGGTCAAGTGATTGCATTAAGAGCAGAAAGTAAAGTCCACAGGACATTTCCAGTTCTGAGGGCTGGGGTGTCGCCTTGGTGGAGGAGGGCAGTTTTTGAACTTTTGGATGACCTTAGCTCCTGGATTTCCTCATGGCTAGAGGATGCTGAAGCCATGTCCAGCCTTTCTCTATGCTTAGGTTTCCTCATCTGCCACATGAGGGCGTTCACTTGGGCTGATAATCCCAAGGACTTTGGAACTCAGGAACGTTTGGGGTGGGGTAGGATTCTCCAATTGCACAGCAGGTGGATAAAGCATGGTATCCCCTCTTGCTCTTTCAGAGCTGATACTTTCTCACTTTTCCTTCTCAGGAGTTTTATGTAAGATGTGGGAAGAGTTTAGAAGAAATACATTTTAAAGCACAGAACTAGATGATTTTTAATAACCAGTTTAGTTTCGACAGACCATGATTGACCACAGGAAAGCAAAAGGGAAAGGAGTAGGGTTGGCCATGGGAGGAAGAGGTTTCTGGGAAGGAAGGATAGGGAAAATTGGGTTGGGGAGAAAAGAGAAGGGCCACACAGGGAATGTTGGAGTGAAATGGACTTTACAAGGTCAGGCCAGTCCTCTGCCATCCACAAGCACAAGTGAACCAGACCTAAAGACCTGGAACTGGAGGCCAGTTCAATCTCTTAAACTTGTCCCTAGGATTCAGCGTAGTGCTGAGCACATAGAAAGTTCACAGAGGCATGTGTTTGATTACCGATTGCTTATTTAATCTGTGAAGCCAAGTTAAACAGTAGGAAAGGCCAAGGCTGAAAAACAGAGTTTGGAGCATCAGTACAAACCAATAAAAGTTTATATTTTTCTCATATAGGGAAAAAAATCCAAATCTTCCCCTCAACGCAAAAGAAAGAAAGAGGAGACTATTTTTTATTGTTTGCTTTTTGTTTTATTTTGGGGTTTTGCCATCTCTGAACAAAACCCCCAACACATCTACTTTGAAATCCATGTTCCTCCTCCTTAAGGCCTCTGCCTGAATGCCACTGCCTTGGTCTCTGTCCACAAGCTGCCACCCAACAATAGATATGTTGCGAAATAAACAAGACAAAAAGGGAGGAGGTTTGCTCTTATCATACAATTTCCTTTTTGTATACAAAAGCAAATGTATAGACAACAGAAGAGTAAATTTTATTTTTAAGAAATACATTAAAATTGAGGAGCTATACAAATCTAAGTACAACACAAAAACAAAGTCTATAAAATGTAGTTTAATGAACCTCTATGCAACCATGCACACTGTGGTTAGATATCGTTTTCCAATTCATCATATAAATATACGTATATATATAAGACAAATAATTTTTGACCTACTAAAACATGAGTGGGAACATTTTCTTTCTGCTAAGCCATAGGTAGAATATCCAGGAACTCTATCCAGTGATATTTCTTCCATTTTTATGCTAGAAATTAAAAAAATAAAAGTGTCAGTTACTGCCTCCCTCACCCACAGCCTTCTCAATTCCCTACCCAAAAAAACACCTAAGAGAGTGTTCACCCATTCTTTTTTAAAAATTTTAAAATTTGTTTTAATTAGTTATAGAGTTGAATGCACTTTGATACATCATATTTAGTGGAGTATAATTTCTCATTCTTCTGGTTGTACATGATGTAGAATCCCACCGCTCATATAGTTATAGATGTACATAGGGTAATAACATCTGATTCATTCTACTATCCTTTCTACTCTATACCCCCCCTCCTTTCACTCCCCTCTACCTAATCTAAAGTAACTCTATTCTTCCCTAGTCACCCTCCATTGTGAATTAGCATCCACGTATCAGAGAAAACATTTGGCTTTTGGTTTTTTGGATTGGCTTATTTGTTTAGCATGATATTCTCCACTTCCATCCATTTACTTGCAAATGCCATAATTTCATTATTCTTTAAGGCTGAGTAATATTTCTCTGTGTATGCATGTGTATCATATTTTTTTATCCATTT